TCTGTAGCTTATAGCTTTGGAAATTTGCCCAGAGTCACTAAGTCAGTATGTGTCACAAGACTTAAACACAAGTCTTCCTGACTCTGAGGCTGGCTTCCTGACCAAGACATCATGCTACTATTATTATGAAAACCAATAACCTTTATGAAAGTCGGTAGCTTGTTTCATAGCCTGGCCCTAAATGGGCTTCTATAAGGATTGGAATTCAAGTTAAGTGCCACCTGGTCCTTTCAAAATAATGATACTACAGCAAAAATACTATTTGGATGCCAATTGTCCCGCAAAGCTTCCTTATTCAGTATCCTTGTTGATTAAAAAATCTGGCTTTTTCTGTGCTTGCATTTGACCTGATTTGTTTGGTGGAACTTTGTCAGTTTTCAGAAAATTAAATCCCTTTTCTCTTCTTCTGTACTGATTTTCTTGTTTCTTTAGAATGACTCTAGCTCTGAGATTCTGTCTCATACCTGGTAACCCTATGTATGAGTGACAACTTATTTCCCCCTCAGGGTTCTAGGAGTTGTGTTTTCCAGTACTATTACTTGAATTGCCATATAGTACACCTCACCAATATTTCCTGAGAAGGCAAAATTTTTGAAAAGGCAATATTTCCTGAGAACTTACAAAACCCCCCCCCCAATTTTGGGGGCAGGGAATCTCTCATGTACACCAAATTTCTGGAGAAAGTATATATATATATATATACATATATATATATACATATATATATATATTATATGTATACATATATATATACATATATATATATATATATATATATATACACCAAATTTCTGGAGAAAGTAGATATAGATATAGATAGATAGAGATAGAGATAGAGATAGAGATAGAGATAGAGATAGAGATAGAGATAGAGATAGAGATAGAGATAGAGATAGAGATAGAGGTAGAGGTAGAGATAGAGGTAGAGATAGAGATATAGATAGAGATAGAGATAGAGATAGAGATAGAGATAGAGATAGAGATAGAGATAGAGATAGAGATAGAGATAGAGATAGAGATAGAGATAGAGATAGAGATAGAGATAGAGATAGAGATAGAGATAGAGATAAAAATAAATAACACAAAGGCACACACACAGAAGCCCAGGCATACTTCTCTACTCTTGGCCTTGGGCTCCTTTTCTGCCTTCTCAGAGTTCCTGACTAGCAATAAGACTTTTAGAAGGTATTTTTTTCCAAGCATGATTGACAGTTTATTGTTTCCTAACTGTATTCAATCTTTTTTTAAATAGTATTTCATTTTTTCCAATTACATGTCAAGATAATTTTTACATTAATTTTTACAAGATTTTTGGTTCCAAATTTTTCTTCCTCCCTTCCCTTCTTCCTAAAATGGTAGGTAATTTGATATCGGTTATACATGTGCTATCATGTAAAACATATTTCCATATTAGTTGCAGTTGTGAAAGAAGAAACAGATCAAAAGAAAAAAACATGAAAAAAGATAAAATGAAAAAAAGTATGCTTCAGTCTACATTCAGAGTCCATCAGTTCTTTATCTGGATGTGGATAACATTTTCCTTCATGAGTCCTTTGTACTTGTCTTGGATCATTGTGTTGCTGAGAAGAACTGGGTTATTCATGGTTGATCATCACACAATGTTGCTGATGTTGTTTATGATGTTTTCCTGGTTCTTCTCATTTCACTTTACATCAGTTCATACAAGTTTTTCCAGGTTTTTCTAAAGTCTGCCTTCTCATCATTTCTTACAGCACAATAGTATTCCATGACATTTATGTACCACAACTTGTTCAACCATTCCCCAACTGATGAGCATCCCCTCAATTTCCAACATTTTGCCACTACAAAAAGAGCTGCTATCAGTATTTTTGGACACATAGGTCCTTCTCCCTTTTATATGATCTCTTTGGGATACAGGCCTAGCAGTGGTGTTGCTGGATCAAAGGGATGCACAGTTGGGCATAGTTCTAAATTGCTCTCCCAGAATGGTTGGATCAGTTCTCAACTCTACCAACAGTGCATTAGTGTCCCAATCTTTCCACATCTTCTCCAACGTTTACCATTTTCCTTTTTTGTCACATTAGCCAATTTGATAGATGTAAGATGGTACCTCAGAGTTGTTTTAATTTGCTTTTCTCTAATCAAAAGTGACTTAGAGCTCTTCTTCATATGCCTACAGATAGCTTTGATTTCTTCATCTGTTGTGAAGGTAATTTTAACCTCTCGAATTTCAGTTGAAAGAGCTTAGGTTCTTATCAGGGGCCATGCTGACATAACCAAATTGACAAATTAAACAAACCTTTCCCCTGGCTGAAAGTGATTTCTTCCTCTTCATATCCCTTTGTAGTCATTTTTCAAAGTCTACTTTGTAATAGTCATTTTCCATTCCTGTCTTGTTCCTAATACTAAAGTGTAAATTCTTTGAAGGCAGAAGCCAGATTTTAGTTGTCTTTGCATGTCCTAGGGTCAAGCACAAAGGATGTCTTGCATTTTGTGCTTTTTTTTGGTCTAAACCTGTGATTTTATCAGTGTAGGAAACTTCCATTGTGGAAAGCCTTGCCACCAATGCAAATCAGTAACTTTTAGTCTTAGAGAATCAACTGAGGTATTAACTTGCCCAGCATTCTACAGAGAGTATATGTCAAAGTTGGCACTTGTAATGTTTGAGTAAAATCAACTTGAACTATACTAAGCTATCACTCATCCTGAACAAAATAGGCTTTCTAGTAAATGTCCCAGAAGGCAGAATGCAGAGCATGGGGTAGAAGTTGCAAAGTAGCAACTCTCAGGTCAACATGAAGAAAAACCTTCTAACAATTACAGCTGCCCCAAAATAGAACTGGTCACTTTGTAAGGCAGTGAGTTTCCTCTTCAAGCAGAAGCCGGATAGCCCCAGAAGGTATTATTGTGTAGTATGCACTCTGAGCCACTTGACAATTTTATGGAAGGTTAGCCCTACTTAAAATGATAGAGATGATGATGATGATGACTGTGTGAGAGCAGGATTGATGTTTGGTACAACTTGCATAATCAATATCCCTTTTCAACATCATTGTTAAAGCCTATTCCTAAGAAAGTACTGGAAATCAGATATTTACACCTTGGTATGAATTCAGGTCTGAATGTTACCCCTTCTGTGGATATTTACATTTGAAGCCTTATCTCTCACTATGGATTAAAAGAATTTGTCTTCTTTCGAAGAAATTAGAGGCACAGATATGTAGATGAGGAAGGTATCTTGTGTGAGTATGAAGCCCTATCTAGGACCCACGATATGAGAGCTCTTGAACTATAACAAACTATACCTAAAGGCCAGTCTGTCTCTCACAGTTGTGGTTATCACTGCCCTTGAGCTCAGTTCTCAATTAACACTCATTGAGAGCCCTCCCATACCTTTCCCTCACACCTAGTTTCTAACCACTCTCCATCGCATTTCCAACCGAACAACCAACTTCTTAGGCAGCTCCCCAAGATACCAATGAAAATGAAGCATCTTTTCATCAAAGGGACTTGTAATCAGCAACCATTTCTCCACCCTTATGCTAAATGAATACATATTCTCTTTTGTGTATTTGAGGGTGAATGATTCTGGGTGCTGCGGGAGACTTGAGGAGGGACAAGAATATTTGGAATAGAATACAATCCTTATCAGCCACTACATCAGGCAGCAGCAGTGAAACTTCAGCCCTCCTGCACCTCATAGAGTGATTTCTCTGGGGATTTGCTCAGGGAGGAAGCCCTAAACCCTTCCCCACCAGCGTGTGAGCCTATGGGAGATCATATGCATATGGGTGTAGGGGACTAAGAATTATTTTATTGCTTGACTTTTTTCCTATTACTTGCTTTGCTATCCTTTCTCAATTAAATACTTTTTCTCTTTTATTTGTAGTTCCTCCCTTGTTTATTAGCAGCATAGGGGCCTTGAACTATATATTAGCTCCTTTTATAAAACTCAATAACTCACAAGAAGTCCAGAATGAGTGGAATGTGAGTCCTAGGAATAATAATAATGATAACACTAATAAAAATGATAATTATAATAATAAAGTGTAGTTGTTGGAGGAAACATAATAATAATGGAATTAACTCTTTGCTCTGAAATCAGAGAACCTGGTTCAAATCCAGTCTCTGATAGTTACTATTTGTGTGACTGTAGGCAAGTCTCAACTTCCCTGAACCTCATTTTCCTCATCCCTAAGATTAGAGGGTCGGACTAGATATGTTTTAAGTTTCCTTCAAGCTCTAAGCCTCAATTCTATAAACTTAAATATAACAGCTAATACAGATATAGCTTTTTTGTGGTTTACAAAGCAATTGGATTTTCATAAGAACATTGTAAAGCATGTACTACAGATATTATTGTCCTCATTTTATCAATAAAAAAACTGAATTTCAGGAAAGTGAAGCAACATGCATAAGGCCACACAGATAGTGTTAGCAGAGTGGGATTAGGACTTTAGAGATTATCTAGTCTAATGCTCTCCTTTTTAGAGATGAGTAAATTAAAACCCAGAGAGAAGTATTTACTAGGATTAAAACCCTTCTGGGCCACAACTTCCTTGTCCATAATGAAGGAATAATAATATTTGCACTACTCAACTCCCTTTGGAAAGGATAAAAGAAGAAGAATTTGTCTTCTGTCAAAGTGTTGTTAAGTGTTTATTGTGAGCAAGGTGCTGGATAATAGATACACCATGTTGCAAACAAAATAGTCCCTATCACTCCAAATTGAGCGACTCAGTTCAAAACCTTTGGTTTCATCTACAGAATCCAGATGCTGCATCAAAGTTATACCCCTGGCTTAGTAGCATGTGATGAGATGATAAAGAGGAAAAAAAGAGGTTGAGCTGATATCCCCAGTGAGGAAAGTATGTGAAAACCAACTTTATGCCCTAGTACCTTGCCTTTGAGATAGCAAGCAGCAGGTTTATCTCATCCTGCATCTGGGTGAATCCCAGATAGCTGTCCCTTGTAGGTTGGATTTGGTTTCTTTTTAAGGCCATGAATGAGTCATCTCAGCACTTTTAGGTCTTTATTTGGAAAAAACAAAAGCAAGAAGCTTGGCAACTCATCAGTTTTTAAAGACTGATAATCCCATTTGAGAATTATACAGGATTCTTAATGAAAGTAGTCACAAAGCAGGGAGAAAAAGTGGAACAAAGTCCAGTCAATTTTACTTTGTCATAGCAATTCTCATTAAAGATGAGGTAGAGGAGAGAGTCAAGATCTCTGGCAAAAGTGAATTGTTGGTAGTCTTCCATCATGTTGGGTCTAGGGGTGGCAAGGGGTGATGGTAACAAGATGTATTTGAAGCCAGGACCTGAAAATTCAGAGAATACATAGAAAATTTAAATCTAAGTAAGTTCATGGGCATTATGAGTATTGTTATTTTCCTGGGGCAGGTGAACTATGGGACCAGAATAGCAAATGCTATATTGAAAACTACCAGTTTCAATCCCACTTTTGGAGCTTTCTGAAGTAAAAAATAAAAATTAGGTCTGTTTCTGAGTGCTTCTATGACTGAATATTCATATTCTTATTGCAGAGCTTAATTCTTCCTCTTCTTTGGAGTAGCTGGAGCATTGCAATACCTGGGTCTTCAAGGCATATCGATCCCCAAACCTGTAAGAAGCACATAAGTCATATCATGGTGGTATAAAATAAATAGGTTCACAACATAACTGGATTTTCAAATTCTACAGATTACAGATTATTGGATCTAATTCAATACCTTCATTCTATAGATGAGGAAACTAAAGTCCAGAGAAGGGAAGGTCACAAAAGTAGTGACTTGCCCAAGGTCACAAAAGTAGCAAGTGACAGGACCAGAATTCAAATACCATTCTAACTGCAAATTCACATAGCCTGCCAGGCTTCAGTGGGTGTAGGGGCTCAGAGATCGGAATAGACAATGGCATCCCTAATGAAGGCAGATAATTGTGAGTTTGTTATATTCAAAAATCCCATCCAAATTTCATAGCAAGCCAGTTGTGTCTTGGATTATTGTCTCCCTCATTGTTCCTGAATCCTTATAATCTGAAATTAGCTTTTAGAAAACATCTCAAATTAGAAATGAGTGGTACTGGAATGCATTCAGCATTACTATCTACTTGTTTCATATGTGTTTTCATAGTGCTTCATATGCTCCCAATTAGATTAGGAGCAGCATAGTCCTCTATAGTACTGGAACCAAATAGGTGCTCTGTAAAGATTTGTTTGTTTGTTTACTTTTGGAGGCAATTGGGATTAAGTGACTTGCCCAGGGTCACACAGCTAGGAAGTGTCTGAGGCTGGATTTAAACTCAGGTTCTCCTGACTTCAGGACCAGTGCTCTATCCACTGAGCCATCCAGCTGCCCCTAAAGATTTATTAAATAAGTATAATGCTTCTCAGACTGTTTTTCAGAAAAGCTGAAGAAACTTTGTACCACTGCCTATTTCCTCCAGAAAAACTAGAAAGAATAGTGACAGTGCAGCTTTTGAAAACATGCCAATGAGATGTCCAGCTGTTATTGAGAATATACGCTATGGCCTCTAGAATGTGGGCTCTTTTAAGACAGGGCGTATTTCCTTTGTATCACTGTATATTTAGTATCAAGCACAGTGTCTTGCTCACAATAAACGCTTAATAAATATTTGTTGAATTAAATCAAATTGGATTCATGCCAGAAGAAGGTCCAGCTCAAAATCCTCTTCTATGAAGCCTTCCTGACAAAGTACAAAAGGCAATCTTCTTCCTCTCATCTAGCACTTAGCAATTTAGAATATGCAACCTGACATAGACTAGGACCTATAATTTCCTTAGGATAGGAGAATAGGGTAAGAAACTTCACTCTACCAATGCAGATTAGTAACTGTTCTACAAATTATGCTCTCAGAGAGTTGCCTAGGACACTGAGAGATTAAGAGACTTGACTAGGGTCACACAGAAGTATTTGCCAGAGGCTGACCCTTACAAGTATATACTTGTGTCTTCTCTCCCCAAACTTGGTCCTTGAAGGCTAGAATAATGTCCCTCCAATTCCTCTCTAACCCTCCCCTCCAAGATGCCAAGATTCCCGGTCATCAAGTTTTGGTTCTTTTAAGGTATTTGGTTAGGCACAGGCATTTACAAGAAGAACTGGATAACTTACCTCAACACTGACCCATCCTTTAAATTCCTATCCAGTTCCTTGGTTATTTTGACCAGAACTCCTTTCTGCTCCAGTTTTCCCTGATGTCTGTTCTCAATTCCTTTAGCAGTAATATAATCTAATCATAATATTTAGAGCTGGAGGAATATCTAGTCTAACCTCTTCATTTTACAAATGAGGAAACTGAGGCCTAGAGAGTTTAAGCAACTTGTCCAGACAAAAAAAAATAATAGTAATAGGATTTGAACTCAGGTTCTCCAAGTCAAAATCAAGTGTTCTTTCTACTCTGCCAAACTGCTATAGTTGACTCTGAATGGATTCTAGCAATTGGCCATGTTTATACCTTTTCCTCAGATAAGATGCTGTACTTCTCTGTTATCTTCTTAAATTAGTCCAGATTGTCTGGTAACACCACCAACTAGCTAACATGGCTCCTTCCCAGGTGGCATTAACCTAGTTGTCCACATGGCTGCCCCCACATCAATGGCTATACCCCAAAAACATATGACTTGTAGCTGAAACCTTCTACATATGTCATCTCTCCCTATTAGAATATGTGTTCCTTGAGAGAAAGAATTGCCTTGCTTTTCTATTTTTATCCCTAGCACTTTGCACAGTGTTTTGCATGTAGTAAGCACTTGAAAGATTTTTTTTTAATTCATTCATTCATGTATGCATTCATTCATTGCAGTTTTCTCTCATCCTGGACTCAGTGGCTCTAAGTTGGCATCTGCATCAGTTGCTGTCGTTGCATTCTGCCACTCTGTAGCAAATTCTGATTTAAGTTAACAACTAGTTAACCTGAAAAAGTAAATTAATGCTATACTGCTAATGGCAGGAAGTCCTCAAACATGTCTGTATTTTAACATTGGCCTTCTAGAGACAGTCTCTCTCTCTCTCTCTCTCTCTCTCTCTCTCTCTCTCTCTCTCTCTCTCACACACACACACACACACACACACACACACACACACATTTGTTAGGACACTTCAGACCAGATAGCAAAGGAAGCTGTTAGATATTTCTAGGGAACCTTCCTGGTTTGGTGTGGCAGCATCCCCGCCACCTTGGTCAATCCTTGTCATCATAGCCAGGTTTTGTTACAATCCTCTCCACGCCCTCCCTTACTCCACCCTATTCACCCCACCCCAACTGGCCTCCAATTTCCAAGGTAGCTCCTCCCTCTGAATAAGGCTGGATCAGATTAGGAAAAGCAATAGCTTTCACAAGATTGCTCTACTTGGCTCCAGAAATTAATTAAGAGCTGCCTTCAGAGCCTTCAAATTCTCGGCATGCTCCAGCAAGATCTAACACACATGGCTTAATTCAAAGTATTTGCAGCATTTTTCCCCTAGCTGGCAAACCAGTCCTTGCCTGTTAATTGAACGTGATTAAATTTTCAGGCCTTTGTGCTATGCAACCTGTTCTGTGGCAACAAGGAACCAGCCTACTGGTCATCTGGAAGGGGGCATGTTGGCCAGAGCCCTTATAAGGATAATTAATAATTAGTTGATAAATGAGTAATTGTTACAATAAGGCTGTGCCAGAAAGCATCCAAGCATCTGCTCATCCATGTCAAGTTGCTGGTACATGTAGGAACCACGCAGTTCAAGCTTGGGTATCAAAACAGAGAACAATACGAGTGAACTGGCAGAATTCTCTTTCCTTTACTCCACTCCCACATCTCCCAAATCCAATCAGTAGCCAAGTTTTGTTGATTCTGCCTCTTGGCATCCATCCCTTTCTCTCTTTTCTCTCAAAACACAAGAGTTCAAACTCTTATCACTTCTTAATTGGGCTATTATAAGAGCCTCCTAATCAATCTCCCGGCCTCCAATCTCTACCCTCTCCTCTCCATCTCTCACCTAGCTGCCAAACTGATATTCCTAGAACAAAGTTCTTACCATATCATTCCTCTCATCAGGAAAGTATTGATATCTACTTATCTATGTATATGTTGGGTTTTTTTTCAGTAGAATATAAGTCCCTAAGGTCAGGGATTATCTCATTTTTGTCTTCCTATCTCCATTGCTTAGTAGAGAACCTGGCACATAGTAGACACTTTTAAAAAGCTTGGTTAAATAAATGATTGAGCTCTGAGCTGCCCTGACACAGTTGCTGCCCTAAAGGTTGATTTTGCAGGGTGCCCACTTCTCCTGGTAGCTCTCATATGCATTCTGGAAAACAGCTTAGACACCTCTGCACTTAGGAGTTCCTTGTCAGACAGAGTTCAGTGGGTGAGCTGTAGGAGAGGAGAGGTTAAATTGGCCAGCAGTAGCTGATTTAGGGAAATAAAGGCTAGGCTCAGTAGGATCTACATGGAGCCATATTTGAAGGTCATCTGGAGGTAGTAGTGAAACAAAAAGGAGTCAAGTTCATCAGGTCTTATCACTCTATCAAGATGTCTGGTCATGTGGTAGGAGGGAGAAGAAATTGGGGGGAGGGGGGGTCAGGAGGGGAGAAGCCACGAAATCAGCTCCAAAGGATCTCGCATAGCAGTTTCTTTAGGTAGTGTTGGACTCATGTTTTCTGAGGTCTCTTTCAGTTCTAAATTGATTTACCTAAAATGTAGAGCTGACTATATCACATACACACACACCCCCCAATAAAAAACATCCAGTGGCTTCCTATCAAATATAAAATCCTTTGTTTGACTTTTAAGGTCTTTTATAACCTTGCTCCTTCCCACCTTTCCAGACTCATTATACCTTACTCCTGTCCACATACTCTTTGATGAAGTGGCACCGTCCTCTTTTGCTGTTGTTGTTATTCAGTTGTTTTAGTGATGTTCAACCCTTTGTGACTCCATTTGGGGTTTTCTTGAAAAGACAAAAATTCTGGAGTGGTTTTCTATTTTCTTCTCTGGCTCATTCTATAGATGAAGAAACTGAGGCAAACAGGGTTAAGTAACTTGCCCAAGGTCACACAACTAGTAAGTGTCTGAGGCTAGATTTGAATAAAGAAGATGAGTCTTCCTGACTTCAGGCCCAGCACTCTATCCACTATGCCACCCAGCTGCCCATTGGCCTCCTTACCTTTAATCAAACAGAACCCTTCAACTCCAGACTCAGGAATTTTCCCTGGCTGTCTCTCATGTTGGGAACATTCTCCCTCCAAGCTTCCATATCTTCTTTCAGTCTCAGCTAAATTCCCATCTTCTGCAAAAAGCCTTTCCTAGTCCTCTTTAACCTTATTTCCTTCCCTCTGAGATTACCTCCAATTATCTCTTCAATTCTGTGAGCTCCTGTGAGACCAAGGACTTTTGTCTTTCTTTGTATCCCCAACAGTTTGCACAGATGTCAAGCACATAGCAGGTACATAATAAAGGCTAGCTGATTGACTCTAAATCTGTTCTGTTATGAGCGTCCAAGAAGTAACACAGCATGTTGAAAGAAAAGGGAAAAGGAAAGCTAGAACCAAAGCAATTGGATCAAGATTAGAGATAAGCCAAATAGGAACTTTGGTCAGTCAAGTGTAAACAAATTGTCTGGC